TAATGCTGCTATGAACATTCACACGCAAGCTGTTGTGTGGACATATGGTTTTAGTGCTTTTCGGTTTTGCGTTCACTTCCATTTTTAAATACATTGTAAAAAAACTATTATTTTTCTTGATTACTGAATTTTTTAGGTTCCCCTTTAAAATATGCGCCTGAGTCAAGTGCCTGACCGGCTTCATCCTATTCCCACCCAAAAGTCTCGTCCCTTGTTAGCGGTGTGACTGGACACGCTCCTTACCCTCTCAGAGCCCCGAGCCTCAGCTTGCTCCTCTGTAGAGTGGGCCTAAGCCCTGTGCCTCCTCACAGCTCATAGGGGACACAACGGGCCGATGCGGGTGTTACAGACCTGGCACCGGCCCTCCAGAGCAGTAGACTTAAGTCAACAGCTTTTCCTATGCGGAGGCCTGGTGTCAGGCCTGAGGGGTAGGTCCAAAATGGCTGTGACCTTGCCCTGCCTTTGGGGAGAGCTGGCCCACTTGCTGGAACTCCCTGCTGCTTCTGTTTCTAAGAGAAACCTGCTGCTTTGCGTTCCTGCCTCAGCCTGACCCCCTACAACCAGGTTGGGGGGTGGGGGGTGCCGATGCTGCTCAGCGAGGCCCCTGTGGCTCCCACACCTTCCACCCCAGCTCCCCGGCCCGCCGCCGCCTCCCCCACCCTCCGCTCTGCCCACTCCCGCTGAGGCCATGGCTCACTGTCCCTCCGCGCTGCCATGAGGCCTGCACTTTGCAGGGCTGAAGTCCAAAGTTCAGCCCCTGCGCGAAGCGCACGGATAAATATGAACCTTGGAGAATTTCCCCGGCTCCAATGTAAACAGAGCGGGCAGAGGCCCTGGTTCACCGGCCACCGGGGCCAGGGCTGGGGGCGGGGGGTACCCACAGGACCTGGCGAGTGGGGTTTTGGGGGGCCGTGGGTGCACGGAGCGTGGTTCGTGCCGGCCTGCCGCCGGGCTAGCACTCAGACAGCCCAGGCCGCAGGGAGGCCACCAGCTGGTGGCCCGGCCGCGTGGCCGCGGCGGCGGAGCCATGGTCTCCAAGCTGAGCCAGCTGCAGACGGAGCTGCTGGCGGCCCTGCTGGAGTCGGGCCTCAGCAAGGAGGCGCTGATCCAGGCCCTGGGGGAGCCGGGGCCCTACCTGCTGGCTGGAGACGGCTCCCTGGACAAGGGGGAGGCCTGCGGCGGCCGAGGGGAGCTGGCCGAGCTGCCCAACGGGCTGGGGGAGGCGAGAGGCTCTGAGGATGAGACGGACGACGACGGGGAAGACTTCACGCCGCCCATCCTCAAGGAGCTGGAGAACCTCAGCCCCGAGGAGGCGGCCCACCAGAAGGCCGTGGTGGAGAGAGACCTCTGCAGTAGACCCCTGCCCCGTCCCAGGGCCCGGAGCCCGCCCTCCGGCCCCGACAGCCCTGCCCGGGAGCCCACCCTCCCCCCGACAGCCCTGCCCGGGAGCCCACCCTCCGCCCCGACAGCCTGCCCGGCCCGAGTGCCCGGCCGCGGCCTGTAGCCCGAGTTGTGGGAAGGGGACCGGCCCAGGAGCTCAGGTCCTCTGTGGAGCCCGCGGCCCCAGGAGCCGGCCCTCAGCCCCAGGGCTTGGGAAGCGCCGCGCCCAGGGGGGCCCAGGGTGGGGAAAGCAGGAGACTGTCCATCAAGGGCCCGAGAGCCAGAGGGCCGCGGGGGTTGTCAGCCGCCAAGGCTATTCTATGCCCCAAACCCTACCTTCCCTGGAAGCTCTCAGATTGCAAGCCCGGGGCCAGGAAGCCGCCGGGGAGGGCAACGCTGGGCTTGGGGGCTCCCCTGGTCGCCTGGGGACGCAGCAGGCAGCCAGGCCTCTCTTACCTCAGGGAGAGGAAGCCTCCGGAGGAGCTTCTCTCCTTCCCAGCACAGCCCAGGCCTCCCCCTCACCAGCAGGCGCCATGAGCGACCTCCGCTGTGGACCCCCCCACTGGCTGCACCCCGTCTCCCAGAGCACGGAGTGGGTCTGAGCCTGATGCCTCCCCTCTCCTCAGCAGAGCTAACTGGTTACTTATTACCCACGGGCTTTATTATTTCTCTTTTGTTTTATAAATTTATAAACGGCAAAAGGCTCTGATAAGGCCTGTGATCATTAACTTGTAGGGATGGTGGCCTGGGAAGGCCTGGGCCAATGAACCTCCCACCCGGCGGAGATGGGGGATGGGGAGCGCTGTGGGGGGAGGGGGGCGAGGGGCTGGGAGAACGTCCCCTCCCCAAAGCCTCCTCAGCCCCCGTCCTAACAGCCGGGCACTATGCTAAGGTTTCACATGTTAAAATGTGATAATACTGAGCTGAACCCTGGGGGAAGCTGTGGACAAGTCTGCTTCACAGATGAGGAAACTGAGGCCCAGAGAAGGGAAGTGGCTTGTAAGGCCACCCAGCTGGGACTTCACACCCATTCTGCTGAGTGCTCTTAATCCCCAGGCCTGGGGGCCAGGGGCCAGGGGCCAGCGGAGGGGGGGCGGGGTGAGAGGGGTTCTGAGGCAGAGTCCCAAAGACATTCTTCAGGGACCATCTCTCTTCTGTCCAAGGTCCTGATCCCAGTTTTGGGTGGGGGAGGGCTGGGTCCCCGCCTGAGAGTCCTCAGGGTCGGCTGTGAGGGCCTGGGCAGGGGGCAGGGGAGCAGATGGGCCCCCTGACTTGGCAGGAAGTGGAGGGCAAAGGGCCCTGCTGGGCTGCAGGGGAGGGGCAAAGGGGCAGGCCAGGCAGACCCAGGGTGAGGGCAGCTGGGCTGGGGCTGGGGCTGGAGCTGCGGCTGCTCAGGACCCCCATGGGGATGGGGCTTCCAGGTGGGAGTGGAAGATGGGTGCCGAGGGCCTTCTTACCTGGCTGGGTGGGGCCTCTTGCTCAGCAGTCCCTTTGGTGGGTTGGTGGGTGGGGAGGCCTGATCCACAGCACTGGAGGGGGGAGCAGAGGGCAAAGTGCTCCCTGGGACCAGCCGAGGCCTGGGAGCTGAGAAAGAGGACGGCAGGGGAGATGGGGAGAGGCCTGGAGAAGCCAGCTGAGCAGCGGAGCAGAGGAAAGGGCTCGCACCCAGCGTGGAGAAGGGGCTGGGGAGAGTGAGGCGCCCCAAGCTGAGAGGAGGCTGGAGTGCTCCCGCCCGCCCAGATTGGGTTTTCTTTAATGCTAACAGCATGCTATTTACTTTCCATTTAAATTTGAGATGTTGCTATAAATTATCAACCAGCTCCTTGTTCCTGCAGAGTTTATAACTAACTACCTGGGTTACTTATTGTTCAGGTAACAAAAGGGACCTGAAGTCACCCTGAGGGGATAGAGTGGCCTGTGGTCTCAGGGCACAGGAAGGAGAGGGTGGGGGCCCCATGAAGGCCTGGGTGGTGGAGGAC